TTGAAGTTTCCCATCTATTTTACATGGGGAAATACATTTTTACGTAAAATTGCTATAATTTCATTAAAAATAAATGTTTTTGGATCGAATAAGACTACCGAAGACTACCTTCAGAAGACTTCAAACAATAACAATATGATGCTTATTTAACTTAAAAATGTTACTAAGTGTGTTTTAATAACCGATATTCCTATCTGTTATATACCAAAATAAGTTAATTTATGTTTTCATAACTACATCACGCACGAAAAGCTCAATGGATGTGTTAATTTTTTTTTTTTTTTGCTTCTACTCGATCATTTCTGTGGGTAAGTGGTAAAATTTTTGAAAAACAGGGCCAGATATTTTAAAATTTAAATTATTTAAAGGCTAAATAAAATTGTTAAATTTCTTCATAAAAATTAAAAGCCGTTGAAGAGATTTAAAAACATTTTTGTACGGGGTTGCAACCTTTCTAAAAAATACAACAACGGTTAAAAAATTGAAGCTTACTTAATACCACAATATGGGTATCACATGAAAGGTGTACGCACAAGCTTTGGACTAACATGTTTTTAAATAGGGTTGCCACCCATCTGTTAATTAAGATGAGGTAATTATGTAAGTTAAGTGAAATAACGCAATATGCATTTTTGCACATTTGATAGCTTGGTATGGTAGCGACGATGTATCGCACTCTATCCAGAAATGTGTAGGGGTTAAAGCTTTATTCTAACATCTTTTGCTTGAAACTCATATTTTACTTAACCGCATGCAGAATGATTTAAACAAATTTTATTATAGAACATCTGTGAATTTAAGTATGTGTTTTCGAAAACCTTTGATGAGAGTGCATAAACCTTCCATTTGATACCCATATTGTGGTATTAAGTAACTTTAAATTTTTAATAACCGTTGTTGTATTTTATAGATCTCTTCGAACACTTTTAGTTTTGATAAAGAAATTAAATTATTTTATTAAGCCTTTAAATAATTTTAAATTTTCAAATATATGGCAACCTTTTTTAATTTTTTACCACATAATAATAATAATAATAATAGATTGGCGCTTACACATATGTTAGTGTTTGGCCGAGCTTCTCCTCCAATTTGTGGCGTGCGCCTTGATGTTTTCACACAACCACTAAAAAATCGAGTAGAATGCAAAAAAAAAATTAACTCATCCTTTGAGCTGCTCGTGCGTGATGCGGTTATGAAAACATAAAATAAGTAATTTTTAGCAAAAAAAAACCGACTTAAAAAAAATATATATATATCTATATATTTCATGATCCAATGATCGGATCAAAACCAATTTAGTATGGGACCACCTCTGAGACACTACCTTTCCGTTGCAAAAAGAATTATTGAAATCGGTTGACGTGGTGCAAAGTCATGCGGTAACATACATAAAAAAAAAAAAAAAAAANTTTTTTGGAAGTCGGTTAATAACTCATTTTGGTATATAACAGATAGGATTATCGGTTATTAAAACACATTTAGTAATACTTTTAAGTTAAATAAGCATCATATTGTTATTTTTTGAAGACTTCTGAAGGGATAAACAATTTTTTTTTTACGATTTTATAGCAATTCTACGAAAAAATATATTTTCCCCTTGTAAAATACATGGGAAAATTCAAAGTCTCGGCGGCACGGGTAAATATTACCACATTTCAAAGTAAAAAAATACGTGTCACCTTATTTTTGATATTCTTCAGTTCTGGGGGTGGCAGCAGGAAAAATCAAAAAAGTTTATTTTCCTATGTATTTTTGGGCCACCCTAATATACATATGTACATTAGACCGTTCATTATTTCAACTTTTTTTTATACATACTGTTTGCCGGGCGGAGAAAGATGTCTTTTGGTCCAAAAATAAGCTGTGTAAAATTTTATTCGAATACATGTAAGAAAGTCTAAGTTCGGGAGGAGCCGAACATTAAATACCCGGCGCAAGTATAAAATATATATTTTTTCCCCTTTCCAAACCCTGCCGCTAGATGGTAAGCCGGGTGTATCAATTTTGAGTAAATTAGCGTCCTTATATTTCGAAATATTGCAGTTTCAAGCATTTCTGAAATTTACCGTTATATAAACCGCGGCCTTAATTTCAGTCCGATTTCAATAATTTTCAACGTTTTACTTTTATGTGGCAAGCACAATAATATACCGAGTTTGGTACAAATTGGTAGAACGGTTACCGATATACATATATGTGATCATAAGTGGGCGGTGCAACGCCCATTTTCCAAAATTTTACCACAAGCGTATTTCTGGGTAAGGAATTGTTGCAAGCATCAATTTTGAATAAATTAGCTTTAATATTTACTGATTTATCGAAGATTTTGCATTTCTCTAAATTACCGCTATATGGGATGTGGGCGTGGTTATTGTTCGATTTTAAAAATTTTCGGCCATTTGGTATGCTGTACCAAGGCCAACAACTGGAAGAAATTGGTGCAGCGGTTACCAATATATACACATGTAACCATAAGTGGGTGTGGCTACGCCCATTTTCCAAAAATTTATAATATTTTTATTTTTCAATGAAAATTATTGTAAATATCAATTTTGAGTGAATTATCTNCACTAACCTACTTTGGATCAATAGAAACCTATATACCAAATTTCGTTGAGATATCTCCATTTTTGCTCGAGTTATCGTGTACACGGACGGACGGGCAGACAGTCACCGCTTAATCGATTTCTCTTTTCATTCTGATCATTTATGTATACATTTGTCTATATCTATCTCGATTCGTCTTGGCTGTTACAAACAACCGTTATGTGAACAAAATTAATGTACCTTTGTGCACAAGTGCGCTCGGGTTTAATGATAACTCTTAGTACTTACGCGTTGCATTTGCAAATCTAGAAAACCATATGCATTCAGGTAAACTAGTTTTTATTTTGGGGGAAAATATTTACAAATATAAGTTTCTCCCGCAGAAACTTCGAACTTTATCTAAAAGTCCACTGTTTTGCTATCTCCATTTATTCTATTTTATCAACTTTTTTGCCAGCCAAGGCATAACAATTCGAAACAGTTGTTACAAACTATTACAAAATAAAACAAAACTTTTGTCAGCTGTTTTTCTAATTGCGATGTATGCAACATGCCAATGGAATGATATTTTAATTGATTTTATGATCAAATTTGCTGTACAGTATCGATACGTTGCTTGAATCCAATACCATTTACTAAATTTGCTATAACTTTCCTATTTTCCAATCGATTTGCAAAAGATTTGGATCTATAGACTTTGAAATTAAATAAGCTTTTATATAGCATAAAAATAAGTACAAAAGTTTGCAGCTTTCCGGTGTAATTTTTATTCAGATTCTGTGAGTTATTTTACATAGAAAATTACAATAAAATACACGATTTTCAAGTATTTTGTTAAAAACTGTTTGCCCTGAATGCATATGATTTTCTAAATTTTCAAATGCAACGCGCAAGTACTTAGAGTTTTCATATTCGAATAAAATTTTTAACAGCTAATTTTTAGACCAAAATACATCTTTTCTCCCCGGCAAAACATTTTTTTTAACGAAGGGTCAAAAATGGGTTTACATTGTCGTCCAGTATTTCTAGAAAATCAGGCGCAAATTAAAAAAAATCTTTTTTGATTAAATTCGGTGTGCCCTGCTCCAACTTTTCTTAGTTCGGCGCCCACCTCCTACACAACTTTTTTTGGCTCCAAGTACTAAGTTTTATGAATTTTGGAGAAAATGAACAGGCACATTTATTTTATTTCTAAAGAAGTTCCTACTTCTTCATTTTAAAAATTACAAAACGAAAACATTTACAATACCTGCATACTAAATTATGTGCACGATATGTTTTTACACTGAAACTTTAAATTTTACCTACATTTTATACAACAAAAGCTGAGCTAAGGCAAGCAGGGCTCTTGCCATCGAAAACGGGTCTCGTCCAGAGAAGCGTCCATTTTTGGCTAAATGTTGATTGTGATTAATAGATTGGCGAGTCATTAATATCTACACCTAAGATTTCCACTTTATATTGCATATTATTTATTTTATGTACACATCAGAGTCTTTCCTTTCAGCTCTAAAATAAAAATTCCATAATTTTTTTAGGAGGTGGGTCTATAAAAGGAAAAATAGAAGCTGAGCTCGCAGTTCCTCGCAGCTGGAACTATTTGAGATATGACACGCATACTTAATGTAAACTGGTCCTAAATATAATTTAGCTCGTTTACTAGGTCCTTTTTAAATATTCCATTTTAAAGTAAGCACTCAAAAATTTTACACTCACAAAATTATGTAGAATTTCAAGGTAAACTGTTTTATACATTCCAAAAGTTTTATAAAAATTTAAAGCAATGTTTGACCATAGGTATATTCAAAAGCTATTCATGAATCAGATTGGATTTTTATATATGCGTACAAGTGGAAAAATTAATTCAAATTACTTGCGAAAGAATTAAAATTTTTTCTTACACATTGTTCTTACTTTAAAGCTCGTGTCATGATTGCCAATATACAATTTTATCCAAAATTATTTTTGGTTTGGATTAGCTGAATATTTTGCTATGCATCTGCGTAATTACTTTTTCAGAATTCGCTAATCCGTTTTTACTACTTTTGGCCACTGTAGTCCCTTAGTGCGCCGTAACGACGTCGCTTCGAACTCACCCTCGCTCTGTGGCAAATTGCGTTGAAAACGTAAATTAATGGGATTGTGTACACTGGTATATATGTACATATATGTTACCGGCCAAACCCGATCTTATCACAAACTAGTTTTTCCTAGACTAAACTAGATCCGCACTTTCCGCGCTTCAAAAAAATAACCCTCATCAGTTCAACTCCAGGTACGCAGTCCACAATATTGTTGCGCCCAACTTGTTTCCGTATTGGACGGATATATTAAATATAGGTAGATCTAGTTTAGTCTAGGAAAACCTCTTTTGTCCTAAGATCGGGTTTGGCCGGTAACATATATATGTATGTATATTTGTATGTATGTATATAAATGAATGTAAAACATACCTCTTTATCTATGTTACTGTCGGGACGCTTTTGTAATTGTGTTGTTAAGCCACGAATAAGTGAGTCAAAGTTATCATTATCCCACAGCAAATTTAAATTTTCAGGTCGTTCAAAATGATCACTTAATCGCATAGTTTGATTGAAATTTCGTCTTGAGGATATTAATCTGTTGGATAAAGAAGAGAAAACCGTTAATAGTTCCTCATAGATTTAGTACATAAACGCTAAACGTGAGCGCAAAGCATTGTGCTTGCATAGTCTTAATCAGAGTGTCCAGATTTGGTGATTGAGCGCCAATTCGGCGAGTTTTTAGGATATTTGCGCGTAAAAATTTAGGAAATCGCCTTTGGCGATTATTGGCGATTTTCCCCCTTGAATTCAATTTGTTTTGCGCTATCAGATAAATGCGTCGAAACACGCGATAAGTAGGTTATGGAGTTAGAGCTTAAATTATGATGTGGCAACACTTTTTATCGTTATCGATTTTGTTGTAGCATATCGAACATTTGCCAATATTAAACCACCATTTGTGACAACTCAGGCTGAATGTGAAATTGCAATTTCATTTGTGGAAATAGCTGATCCCGCCTTATTATAGCTTTTATTTTTATCGCCGAGCGCTTAAAAGCGGAGCAACGCGATTGTGTATTGCAGTGACGAAGCAAATTTCACTATTTCATTTCAATTTACAATATTGTCAACTAAAATTCAATGGTGTACATACCCTGCAGGGAAAGCTACTAGTTGTGAACTCGAATTCTACCGGTTTGCGTTTCAGCCGAACTAGTTCACGTTCTATCCTTTTTAATGTTAGCGACTGGTATTTTTAACATTGCGATGTCCTACGAGATGTCAATTGTCAGGCTAAGCATCAGCATCTACTAGTATAAATACTAGTAGCATCATACCAGTTGATGAGATAGTCTGCCAATTCATGCCCCGTGAAAAGCATAAGTGTGCCTTTTTGCTCGCGATGCTCCAGCAGTCACAATAGCCGACAGAGCAAAGCACTCGCGTGGTAAGCCTGAGGTCCCAGTTTCAAATCCTGGCGCAGAGAAAATTTTTTTATTTTCTATTTTTTATTTTATTTTTATTTTTTATAAATTTATTTTTTTGTTTATGCTGTTTATTGTAATTTTTAAATTTAATAAAAAAAATATTTTTGTTTAATTTCTTTGTTTTTATAGCACAAGCATTTCTTAATAAATGTTTTTTGCAATGCAATTAGATTTTCAAATTTGTTATTTATTTATAAATTGAATAAATTATTTTTACTTACATTTATTTAACTTTCAAAATCTTAACCACCTCCAAGCGGCCTCGAACTGCGTTTCAGAACCAGAACCAGTAGTATTCACGTGACGACACAGCCGACATTTGTAAGAAAAGCACTTAATTGCGTTTTATTTTTGGCTTTTGCAATTCAAAGGCAGATGTCGCTGATCGCCTAAGTTCTTCGAAATTGACGAACTGGTAGGCACATACTAGTTAATGAACTAGTATTTTTTCTCACTGGTTTGGACTGCAGTGTAGTTTAATAACATGTGTATGCGTTCATTCCGCGGGCGCTGCTGCTGCTGTAACTTATTCAGTGTTTTGCAAAAACAAGGAATAATAATTTTTTGTGGTAGGTGTGTATTTGGTATTGTATTTGTGCTTTGGCCTTCTTGTATTTGGTATTTTATTTATGCTTTTGCTTGTGTGTATTGCGGTGGTTTCCCTATAGGGTAACCCCGAACTGGTGAACCAAAATTTAAGTTCCGTACTAGATCTTTATCGCAAAAAACGAACCAGTCTGGTATTAACTAGATCGCCACCAGTTCAAAAGCAGCGATATGTGGCACTTTTAATAAAAAATGGTTGAAATATATATCTAAATTGACGAATTTAGAACTGGTTCAAAACTATAGTAAAAGGGATGCAGAATGAACTAGATCTCATCTGGCGAATTTCGAACTAGTTCGAAACTACTGAAAAAGGGATGCAGCGGGGGCTTGTTTACTTTAAATAGATTTTTTCTTGGCGGGCTTTTCGTTGAAATACGCTTTCAGTCTGCACGTCGTAGATGCTTTTTCATAGTAGTTTGGTAATACAAAACTAATATTTGTGTTAACATCTTAACATTATGGGACCTTCTGGAACATAACCAATAACAGTCAGCACCTCTGCAAATTCAGCTGCAGCCAAAGGTATGTAAACTTGTTTTCAAATGCACAATTTCCCTGCAGTGAAAACCCAAACCAGTTAAAAAAACTACTAGTTCATAAACTAGTATGTGCATACCAGTTCCACATTTTCGAAGAACTTAAGCGTTCAGCGACATCTGCCTTTGAATTACCAAAGCCAAAAAAAAAACCTAATTAATTGCCTTTCTTACAAATGTCGGCTGTGGCGTCACGTGAAGACTACTGGTTCTGGTTCTGGGATCGCAGGTTCGCAGGCCGCTTGGAGGTGGTTAAGATTTTTAAAGTTAGATCAATGTAAGTAGGAAAAATTATTTCAATTTAAATTAAATATAAATAACAAACTTAAAAATCTAGTTGAATAACCAAAAAAAAACCTAAATACAAAATATAAATAAAAGGAATATTATAAACAAAAAGTAAATAAAAAAATTTCCCCTGTGCCAGCGCTTGAACCTGGTACCTCAGGCATATCACGCAAGTGCTTTGCCCTGCCGGACATTGTGACTGTTGGAGCGCCGCGAGCAAAAAGGCATACTAATGCTTTTCATGGGGGATGAATTGGCAGACTATCTCATCAACTGGTATGATGCTACTAGTATTTCTACTAGTAGATGCTGATGCATAGCCTGACAATTGACATCTCGTAGGACATCGCAATGTTAAAAATACCAGTCGCTAACATTGAAAAAGGATAGAACGTGAACTAGTTGGGCTGANCCTGCAGGGTTAATTTACATTCATTCAAAAAAATCTGATTTCAGATTGAAAATACATTTCGCTGCAAATAATTAAAAATTTCTACCATGGTAACCCAAAAATTTTTCTGAAATACTGCTTATCGCATCTTAAGTTTGAATTACCTCTTCCTCCTTATACCTCAAGGTGTAAACTCATAAATTTGCATACTCTTCAAAGTAGAAGAATAATTTCGGCAGTCACATTTATCTATGATATTGTTAATGGTAACATTGATTGTCCTCTATTGTTGGATTTGATAAAATTCTATGTTCCTGTAAAAAATCTTCGGCGGCATTATACTTTTTCTATTAATGCTTGTAAATCCAACTATGCTTTGAATGGACCTATCACTAGATCTTTAATTGAGTTTAATTCAATAGAAAGGAATTGCTGTATTGACTTTTCATTAAGCCGTTTCTGTTTTAAGAATCTACTGTTTTCTTATTTTAAGCATTAATTACTTATTAAGTTGCCCTGAATTTATATACTATACATTGTTAGCTAGTCTATAAGAACTTATTGTTTCATTGACTTAATAAACCAAATACAAAAAGAAAACATCTTGTTACTTTTTTCGTTTACAACTGGTTCGAAACTATAGAAAATAGGGTGCAAAGCGAACTAGATCCCATATGTCGAATTGAGGACTGGTTCTGAACTATAGAAAAGGTAATGCAACGGGGGACAATTTCCAATACCTATGACACCGCTGTGTTAAATTCGCCATTTGCATGCAAAAGAGATTTATCGTGAACTAGTAGTGGTTCTAAATGTACTAGAAGCGCACCAGTTCAAAACTAGAGATTTTCCCCACAGGGATCATTGTACTCTTTTAGTTGTAAAAATATAATTAAACACACGAGTTTTGTCCCGAGTAATGACGGTCTCGGCGGTCGATTTAATATTGACTTATCTTTTATTTTTCAGTGTTACAATAGGTACTTATGTATATGCAAAGTTCAAGTTTCGTTAAGTTAAGCTCTGTCAAAGTTAACTGTTTTAAATACAATGTTGCTAACCAAATGTTGCTAACCCAATATTGATATAATCAATTTTCTTCATCCTCGGCCCCGGCTAATGAAGATGCAATCTCCATCGGATACAACAACTGTATTGGCCGCTTCAGTATCTGCTGGTTTTGTACCCGAATATCGCACGATCGAACACGGCCATCTCTTCCTTTGTAAACGTGAATGATTACCGCCAGTCGCCAGAGCAAACGAGGCTTGTTGTCTTCGTGAACTAATACCACATCACCCACTTTAACGCTTCGAACTGGCCCGCTTTTGTTGTGGTGAATAGTTCGCAGCTTTTGCAGGTATTCGGTACGCCACCTCTGCAAGTATTTCTTAATTAAAGTTTGGCGCAACTGCCATGCTTTAGCTATTGATGAACCACCGCTTTTAAAATCTGTTTGGAGTAAAGAAGATTTCCAATTAGTTAGGGAATGAGATGGAGTAAGTGGCTCCAAATCATTTTGGTCGCTAGAGATATAAGTTAAAGGCCTCGCATTGACAATGCTTTCAACTTCCGCTAGCAATGTAGTGAGGTCATCTATCGTTAGGTTCGCTTTTCCGATTGCTGCCTTTAAGCAATTCTTGACGCTTCTAACAAGCCGCTCCCTAAATCCTCCCCACCATGCGGCTCGCTCTGGAAAAAATCTCCATGAGATATTCTGGTGTGCCGCCATTTCTTGGACTTCGCTGGTTTCCATAAGGTCGTTAAATTTTTGGAGCTCAAGACCTGCTCGCTTAAAAGTTTTAGCATTGTCCGACATCATAACCGCTGGAACGCCTCGTCTCGCCATAAATAGTCGCAGTACATCAATGCAGCTTTTCGTTGATAGATCTGCCACTAGTTCGAGATGAACCGCTCGAATCGCGGCACACGTCAGTAGCATGACGTATACTTTCCGCTGTTCGCCGTTGTTGTGTGCCTTTGCGTAAAGTGGACCCGCGAAGTCAACGCCAGTTGTTTCAAATGGCCGGCTCGTTGATACTCTCTCGGCTGGTAATGTAGTCCAGGGTTTGTTAGCACTCTTACCATGCAGTTTATTGCATATTATTCAATGCCGCAGAGTCGTTTTGATTAGCTGCCGCGCTTTCACGATCCAAAATTTCTTTTGTATTTGGCATAGCACTGAATTGATGCCACCATGAAGTACGGTTTGATGCGCCTCGCTTACAACTAGTTGGCTGTAATGAGAATTTTTGGGTAAAATTATTGGCCTAAAATTACCATA